AATTGAAATCGACAAAAGAATGCCGAACGAAAATAAACGTTTATTGACACTTGCTCTTGCGATAATCAATAATATTACCGGTTCTAGCTGGTGTATGCCTTCTGCCTCCGGAAAACTATTCGATTCCATTTCGGTATCTGCCTCAATGTGTTCGTGTCTAATCAAGAAGTCCACATTTGCAGAAAATTATTTTATTGACAAATTTGCATGGCAATGGCCTCGAAATTGAACAAACTTCCGCTTTATTAAACCACTCAAATAAGGAATATGTTTGCGTATGCGTAGAAAGCGTCAAGTGTGTTATGAAATGATTCTATAGCCCAACACTAGATGTCAACTTTTATCGGTGAAAGAAAATCAGAATGAATAGAAAAGCAATTTGCATTCATTAGAGAAGACTTAGGGCAGCCTTTAAAATAAATATTTTCTAAGCACTAAATGCAAACAGTTTAAAACGTTTTCTGTGTTTTCATAGAGCCTCATGAATGGATGGCTGCACCACAAATATTTGCCTTCAACAAGGCCGCATGCGCTTCGAGTACGTTTAATTAGCAATAAAATCAGTAATTATCCTGCACAAACACGGTAGCAGTGACCAAAAATAAACCGAGTGGGGGCGTGGCAAAGCGTCCATAAAACGCGAAACAAACCAAACCCGTTGGCCATGCCACAAAAAACAGCTTAAAATAAATTTAAATTTTAATTTCAATCTCGATCCCACTCGCTCGACATCACCACACACAAAAGCCAACTGTTTCGGCGGCGGTGAAAGTCTGTTACCCTTCTTCTTTTTTTGGGGTGGAAGCATCCCTAGATGCCAATCCCTGCACATCCTTGCCACTGCTGCGTAGACAACTTCCAGTGGCGCAGCTGCCATTTGCTGTCTCTGTGTGCAAGTGAGTTCGGTCTGATGGAAGCCATTGGCAGGTCCCTTGGCTTCCTGGCGGCCTGCGTGAGTAAAGTGTATCTGTGGGATATGTGCAGGTTGCACATCACAGTACAATGCATGTATATCCATAAAAAAATATGCATTTTTATAAAAGTTACCTAAGCTTTACACTTCCAAGTCCATAACTTTTATTACTAAAGTCCTATTTTTTAACTCCCTTTCTTGAATTTGGTATCATTTAAATTTTAAACTTTTTGGAATTTCCTTTTTTCCAAACCTTTTTAAAGGTAATTCGTCTTATATCTTAACTGGAATAAAGATATCTTACTTTTACTAAATTAAGCATTAACTTTACGATTCCTTTTGAATATAAAAATCAGCTTTTTAAAACTCCACGGTTTACCCTACCGAAATAATGCGACGGGGGATTTTTCGAGAGGCTTTTATATATGCATGCAGGATGAATAAATAAAGCGAACAGCGCCGTTTCGGTTCGTTCTACCTTTTACCTTTTGGCTGCTGGTGCTGCCACCCCCTTCGTGTTATGACGTATACGCCGCGTTGTCTGACACTGAACGGCAGCCTTTTGATGCAATGTCTCCTGTGGGCAGTCGGGCCGCACGATTTGCGTAACCGAGCACATGTTGAGTCATCCACTGGGTCTACTATGCCTGTATAATATATATAAGCGATTTTGTGGGCGCGCTTGCCGCAAAACAATTGCGGGCCTTTAAGCATAATGGGCATTCGGTTGAATGCCATTAGATTGTAATTAAAGAACCTGCCTTGCTGCTCTTGATATCCTACTCTACGATATGAAATTATTATTATTTTGCAATCATATTGATTTTCATTGTGGCTTTTCTCACCTACCTGCGATGCGGCGTTAATTGCTGCCATCTAAATTCATATTTCCTGGCCCACAACATTGTGGCTCAGTTTGCTGGCAACATCTACATACACAATAGGCGTGTGTTGGCCGTTTTGCTTACAAATGGTCAATATGTAAATAGGCTAGCAATTAAAATGCTGGCAGGGTAAATTTTGTTAATTAGCAAAGAAATAATATCTAATTGGCTTTGGGTTTTACAGGCTTAAATTCTTTTTATATTACTGAAAGCAATTTAAAATTTTTTTTCTAGTAAAAGCCTTTAATTTTAAAACTTTTTTTTTTGATTTTATAAAATTAAAACAGGTAGTAAATTATTCCTTCTTAAATATTTAAACTAATATGCAAAGGCTTCCTTTGTCTTATTTTTAACAAAATTAAGTTAAGCTTATGTTTTAGAGTTGGCATACTATTTTATTAGCATGAGCTTTAAAATCAGTTGTAATATTACAATTTAAACAAACTCGTTTCCTATCTAGTGTCCTATTTGTTTCAAACCGTAAAATCTCGCGGCTTGGCATTTTGTTTGTGCCAAAAATAAAATAAAATGCAGAGCCAAGCAACACGTCAGCGTCAGCACATTTGGGCCAACTTTCAACTACACTGGAAATTGAGTCGCAATATTTTGGCTTTTGTTTTTGTCGCACTAGCATGTACCTGGTAGCAGGCATTGCTGGCCCCTATAATCCCTATATTTTTTTGCTCGCTCTTTTAGCTGCTATTTTACTTTTTGGGGCGTTGCCGTGGCTGAGTTTTAATTAGCCCTGAGTGCGTGCTTGGCTGAGCCAAAAGCAGTACAAATTGTTATATAAACACATACACATCCCAACAAAGTGTTTTCGAGAGCCTAAAAAAATTGTCGCCACCAAATGAAGTTGGCCAACACGAAAACTACGCAGGTCACGAGCAAAATAGTTGCCCAAGGTGCTGTTTGGTAAAAGCCAGCTATTGAAGAGTCTTGAAATGGCAGCGGAAATGAAATTAAGGAAAAGTGGAGAACTTTCTCAAAGGGACGTGCTTGCAGACCTGAAAACGTACTTTTTTTTTTGGCCCCACAGTTCTTTTGCCATGGCAAATGTTAAGGTTATATGTTCTTAAAAAAAAATAATAGCGAAATGCGGGCGGTGGCCTGCCCTTCCTATTTTGCATTTTTGTGTTTGTTTCCCCTTTATTTTTTAATTTGCATGTTTACGCCAAAATGGCATGCAGACGTTAAAATACATAAAATATGAGAGAAGGAAATTCCCGTAATTTTTATTTGCCTGAAAACATTTAAGGTGGCATTCATTTAATGGCATTGGGAAACTGAGGATGCATTTAATCTTTTGCAAATGACTGAAGGAATGCGAAATATTTAAATTTCATATATTTCTATATAATATTCTTTACAAGTTGTAACAGGCGTTTTGGGTGCATAGTAAAACTAATTTTGGCCCAACTTCCATGGCACGAAAATGTTAATGGAAATGGAAAAGATATAATAAAACTTAAAGGGGGGGCAAAAATACTGCAACATTTCTCTTGATAAAACAAAGTTTTCGGTGATGGTTTTCACAGCATTTAATTTATCTAAAATTGTATCTTCAAGCTTTGGAAATATTTTGTTAATATTTCTAAAGCCCTGGAATACTTTTATTATACTAAAATTATTTCTCACAATTTAAGAATAGAAAGAGAGCCAGTGAGAACTTTGCAATGCTGATGTTGATACCCATTTTCATTTAAGCACTTTATTAACATTTCCCTTCTGTCTCCATCTTTATACACACTAATTTACTTTTCAGCGCTGCTTAAAAAATAAATTGTAATATTTGTGTATATTTAATATGGATTAGTCTTAAGTCCGGTTATGCATAATATGTTATTCACATGTTCCTTGCAGTAAATCCGTCTCTAAACCTAAGTTAAGATAATGTTGTGCAATGAGCCAGTAGCAGCGAGTTCAAAATGGTATCTCGACCAGAGAAAAAAAGAGGGGAAATGTAGCATAGTGAAAATGATTAGCTGATTTATTCTATGGGCGTATGTTTGCAACAGATGCGCATGTTAAAATAAAACAGAAAATAACGAAAGAAGCTCAGAGAGTATTTTACCAAAAATAGTTCACTTCCAAGGTCAAGAACAAACAAAACGAGCAGCTGCAGGAATTCATCAAAAGATCCAAAAAAAAAGAAATCATATGAAATATATATATATATGTGTGAGTTTACAATTTAGATGCTTTTTGATACCCCAAATGGACATTAGCTAGGCAAAAGGCAAATTATGCATTGAAAATTTTATAGGCAACAACGCAGCTAAGCTTTGGCAAAACGTACCCAGAAACAAAAAAACCAAAAATTAAACACTTCGTTTATATTGTCATAATCCCACAAGGAAATCAAGCACAGCTCCAACTAAAAACATGTCGATGGATACACACAGACAATACGCCCAATTGTATGCAATTTGATTGTGCAGATAGAATATTTTTTAAATGTTTATAAGCAGAGATTGAAATATTTGTAAAACATATTTTAATAGACACCGAAAACCAAAGGACAACAAATTTTTTGAAACATATTTTTTGATATACAAACCAAGAGAAGAGACGGAAAGTTGAACACTGCGAATATGCACAAAACATATATCTTTCGGATAACCCTAGCCTAAGTTAAAGTTGTAACATTTTCTCGTTTCGAAGTTGACAAGTTTACTTTCGATGGTTTCACAACAATTCATTTTGAGCCATTTTTGTACGCCATTCGGTTGAAGCTTAAGCAAGTAATCCAAAGTACAATCATTTATGTCAAACAGGACACCACAACACACCAGATATTTGGGGGCAACATAATTCTGATGAGATAGAATAACACAAGGGGATACGGATACGGTTAAAGAGTCGTTTCTACAGGGACATAAAACGAAAAACGAAATACTTTTTGCTAACAATTTTTTTAAAATTCGTTTTACACACGCTTTATATAGGTAGTGGATTTCAGGATAGGCAGCTAGAGAGAAACTATTATTAATTTGAACAGAAAGGAATACAAGAGTACAATTGACAGCTGGTGTTATTATAGTTATTATATAATTTATTTAAAGTAAACTTGAGCTTAGGTCTGTCGGTAAAACAACTGCAAAACCGAATGTAATCCTAGGACCTCGCCCCTGTTCTTAGTTTGTAATTAGAGGTAAAGCTCCCCGAAACCCGTTCCCCTTTCCCCCCACCCTAAAAAACCAAGATGTATGCAGCTGCTGGTGGCGCCTCGCTGGCCTCTCGCCAGGCACGGCAACGCCAGCGCCAGCAGAAGAAGACCCAACAGCTCCAGGCGAAACTACATCCACCGAAGGCGGCCGGAGCCGCCGGACTCGCATCCGGCGATCATGCCGCTGAGGGCGCTTCCACGCCCACTCGCAGCCAGTCGCGCCAGTTCCATCAGCTGCCCACCAGCTATTTGCGGGCACCCACGCCACATGGTCGCAAACTGAGCGCCACCTATACGACGCAATCGAAGCTCCTACTGCCAATCGATGAGGGTGACACCCAATCGGTGTTGCAGCTGCGCATGCATCATGGCCACGCCCACGCCCATGCACACGCCCACGCCCACGCCCATTCGCACTCCCACGGCCCCGCCCACGCGCCTGCGCTGAGTATCCATCACGGCCAGACGCCCTACCAACAGTTCGCCTCCTCCCACGGACGCGTCTCACCGAAACTGGTGCATCGGCACTCCGGCAGCAGCAGCAGCACCGCCGGATTCCATCCGGTCATCTCGGCCGGACAGCTGCACAAATCCGCCACGGCCACCCTGCCGCTCGTCTCCCACATGGCCATGGATGCCATGGAGGCCATGGAACTGGTGGAGTCGCCATCGGTTGTGGCCGGCGTTAAAACGACAGTGACCTCGTTGGAGGCACCCACGCCCACGTCTCCGCCGCTGGCCAGCACTTCCGCTGCCGCTGCCGCCGCCCTGGAGGCAGAGTTAGCTGGAGGTGGAGTCGGTGCTGGTGCCATGTTTGTGCCCCACCATGATGCCATCATTGTAACGCCGGCCACGCCCATGGCCTCGCCGGGCCACGTGGTGAAGCTGCGACGCCCCGGCCCGGAGGAGCTGCTGGAGTCCTCGGCCGAGCGGCAACCGTTGACCGCTGGAGAGGCTTTGGATGATGAGGATGAGCCCATGCATCCGCCGGCACCGGGTCAGCTGGAGCGCAAGTGCAGCGTCTACAGGATGCGCCGGAGCGACGCCTTCGAGCAGGACATCGGAACAGGTGGTAGTGGTGGCATCAAGCGGCAGCTGCGGGAGCTGCAGTTCAGCGCCGGAGTCCAAACCACACAGTACGAACCGCTGCTCGCCGACGAACCGCAGCTGATCTTCAAGGGATTGGGGGTCAATGGGCGCAAGATGCAGATATGCGCCTACTGCGAGGAGGGCATCTGCGTGTGTGAGCACCTCGAGGTAATGGTAATTCCGGGTCGATCCTGGCCTGCCCTCATCCAGATCCTGATCCCAATAACTAACTGTATTCCCAACAACGATAATTTGCTTGCTTATGTGTCTTGTGCATGCCCAATAATCCTATTATGCGTGTATGAATGTTATGAGTGGAGTGTTTGCTAGAGTGTCGCCTAAAAAATATGGTAAATGGTTTTTTTAATCAGCATAATTTGTTAACAGGAACAACCAACTCATTTTTGTCATCTTAGCAATATCGCCTTTATATTAGTAATTAGTAATATGTGCATAATACCTTGGGTAATGCAAACAAAGGTTTAAGTATAACGTGTTTTTCACAGATATTTATAAAAATAGTACTTAAATTGTTGATTCTAAAAATTATTTGAATTATTTGCTAATTTGAAAGACCCATTTTTGGTAAAGTGCCAAATGACTTTAGCACTGTGTTAGTTTTGTTTATATATAAAAGAGTTATTGGGACAGGTTCTAATTGCCAATATGTTAATGAGGTTTTGACAACTGAATTTTTCAAAATTAAGATTATATATTGCTGCCATTAAGACCAAGCTTTTAATTAAGAGCACTGAGAATACTCCGTCAGGATGGCTGGCTTATGTGTCGTATGGGTAATATTTTAAAACAAAAAATTTATGAATTTAAAGTCTTTTCTGCGAAAAATTATGTAAAGTTCCGCAGTTGAACTATGAGAGATTTCTGTGGTCCTTCAATTGAATTTCCAATGAAGTTATGATACAGAGAATGTTTCCTTTGTCGTACAATACAAATTTCAAATATTCTATCGCTTCTATTCAAGTAGCTTTGACAACCGGCCACCCCCCGCACTGTTATTCGTATGGCATCTCTAATAAGGACAAGTAGCTTTTGGCAGGAGTCAACAAGCTCGATATGTCCGTGCAGCTTTCCTCTCGACTAGCCCCATTTTGAGGCGATGCCATAACGGCGGCATCGACAAGAAAAATGCCAAATGCAGGAGAGAATAGCAGCGAACAGCGACTGCAAGTGCATGCATAACAACAATCCGAGAATCGGAAGCGCATAATGTGCCTTTGTATCGGCCCGATAATGCGCTGCCCGAAAAAGCTTGGCAGGCTCAAACACAAACCCAAACTCAAGCCCAAGCCCAAGACCGCCTCCAACTCCTCTGCCAGTTTTTTTTTTTCTCCAGCCAGGTCACCTCCCTCAACTGGCGCCGTTTGCCAAATGTTGTGTAAAAGGCTAATGGCAACACTGAATGTGTGCCATAAAAGTGCATAAAAGGTGGCGGGTGGCGGGCGCTACACTTAAAGTTTGCCTCCTTAAAGTTGCCACCGAGTTGCACTTGGTTTTTGAGCTCACGACTCACTTAACGTGCTCCGGATGAGAGGCGGTAAATTAAAAAACTTAGCACTGCGCTATTATTTGACTTGCATAAGCAGCGAATCAACCATGTATATGTATGCCTTTATGCGGGATAAAGCACAAAACTTGCACAAATTAAACCAAACGTGCGCACAAAAGAAAATCTCTGTAAGGCCGGACTGAAGGCGGAAACGCCTGGCCAAGAGGAAAACGAAGTCCACACAAAACCATTTCAGCAAAACAAATAAATCTTTCTAAGTCGACAAAATTATTCTCATTAGCAGATGAGAAACTGCCGACACACGTTTTTAACTGTATTGAATACAAGTGGATCAAGGTGATGAGAAACTGCAGATACACATACTAAATAGTATTTCATACAAGTCAATATTGAAGTACACAATTTCAGAATTACAAATTAATGATGTTTTTCGATATCTTAGTATACTTTATTACAACAATTACTCTTTTAAGAAACATAGAGTTCGGAAAACACATTTAACACTATCAGTATTTATTATTCGGAAATTCTTCAGGATTCTGCAATTTAAATTTTTATAATATACTGTAAAAAGAGTGGGTTCTAAAATATATACAGATGATGTTTTATTTAAAAACAGTTTATCACATATCTTTTACTTGCACAAAAATGGAATTTTAAGGCACTTTTAAACTTATAAGAAATATTCCAAAGTACAATAAGTTTAAACTTTATGAGCACGATAATATGATCGTACCGCTGAGGATTTGAGGCAATCTCATATCCACAAAAGCTCTCGGTACCCCGTGTTCTCGACAAGAACTGGGTGTAAAAAATTAAAGGGCCAAAGAGAAAGTATAAAAACGAAGAAAGTAAACAGCAAAAGCGACTGGCGGCGGCTGATATTTATTATATTCCCTGGAACCCACGCCAGCGTCATTTCTAGTCTCCTTCGGTGCCACTCGAATCGCTAAGAGAGACATGGAATGGACTTTAATGTGTATATGTATGCGTTTCCCCGTATATGTATGTGTATGCAGTCCCGAGCGCCTCGTGCACAAAAACAACAGCTAGTAAATTAGCTGGAAAATAGAGGAAAAAAAGTATGCGGCAAAATGGCGGACGACGCCAGAAATGCGAAAAAATATCATCATCACCATTTGTCCCCACCGCCCACGCCGCCCCTCGCCCCTCCCCTTTTCTCCCACACTCCCCTTAAAAACCGTGAAATGAAAATGGGTGAAAGACTTGTAATAAAGGTGGAAATAAACGTACTACAATCGCAGCGGTTTGTCCGGCGAAGGAAAGGGGGTTTTCTAGAATTTATGAATAAACAAAATGGCGACATTGAGATAAATAACTGCATTAGCATTAATTGCCCATGTTTGTGTGGGATCTTTGCAGGGAATTTAGAACAGATTTAGCGGCAGTACCTTGTAATTTAGGTGCATAGATGGGGATTACAACTTAACATGGGTTTCGGTATTTTAAAATTTACATGCAGCTTTAATTTTCATTAAAAGATTTTTAATAGTTATTTTAGGAAGATAATTTTAAGAGTTTTTAACAGATAAACTTTGTTGAATTTTTAAATGTTAAGCATCAAACATTAAATTGCCATAAACATTTTTTGCTTGGTTTCATGGCTTAACAACATAATTGCTATTGCAATTTAGTTTTCCCAATTATCTAGCTAAGGCAACGTTGATATTAATTGAAAACCCAAGTCAAGGCCACAGCTACTAGACTAAATGCATAAAAGCTTGTTGATCCAATCAAGGATTCGAGGCCGTTCGATTGGTTGATTTGATGATTCAAATCGCTTACGCCCAAATGAACAAGATGCCTTGATATAAAGCCGCTGCTTCGTCGTCTATCGTACTCGTAATTTAATTTCCAATTACACGAGATGTAGGGCCACAAAAAAAGTGCGACGCTGGCGATTGTGGCTGCCTCAGAATGCAGCCTCGATAATTACTCAAACTGTCGCCCAGATCCGGCGCCAGCTTCCTTCGCCCGGAGCAGAGACATCCTACTGGCCCAATTTTCCCAATTCTCGGCGGTTGCTGGTAATTGTTTGTCAGGCACGTCGGTCTGGGCCTGTTCTCGTAATTGTAACTGACATATTGCCAGTGCACAGCCCGACTCAGCACTCTCCACTCGCCACCCTTTATTCTGGCTTTCCCAAAAGCCATCTCGCAAATAAAGTGGTAATCATCCTTGTGCACAACGAAAAAAACCAATCCGACCAAAAACCAACGACAGTTTCTTGTTTATTGCATACTTTGCGGCGGCTTCATTGAATTATTGTTGCATAATTCATTCACCCAAACTCACACACACACACACACACACGGAGTGAAAGAAAAAGAGAAAGTAAGACAGACAAAGAGAAATTCTTCTCGTTTATTACAAAGCCGCATTTAAATTAATTTTCGATTTTGGCTCGATGCTTTTTTCTCTGTTTGCTCATCCCCATGCAGCCAACATTTATCTTCGAATTTTGGCCAGCGTTGTGCTCTTGTTGATTGTTGCCGCTGCCATCGACAATAAAAATCATTTAAAAAGACACAAATTACTCTTACAGCTTCAACGGCAGTCCCAAAAGGGCGATTACTAGCGAAATTGGAAAACGGGATTTATGCAGAAGGGAATTTCGTGGTACATACGTCGATTTGCATTCGTTTAGCCATAACACTGAGTCGTAAATTGAGCAATATTTACAAATACCTTTGAGTAAATAATTTGGTATTATTGAATGCGCGTTTTTGTCAACTATGTTTTTCTATGATTAGAAATTTGTACGGCTTTAAAATTATTTATAAAGGTGGCTAAAAGTTAAGCAATAAAAAATATGTACGTTTTCTATTTAAAAGTCTTCCAGACTAAAATTATTGCATACCTTATAGTGATTTCTGCAGACTCACTCTTAATGCATATTTTTTGTAGATGATAGACGGTTAAAAATATAATTTCTACAGGTGTTTCCATTAAAACTTTATGCGACAATTCAATTTAACTCTTAAATGGCCAGATAAAACTCGTACATCGTGATGTTTTCAAATATTGACAAATTGTAGTAAAAAGTTGTTTATTCACTAGAAAATTCCACACCAATTTCGTGTCGTTTAACACTGCATAAAAAACAGTTTAAAAAATGCTTTCTACTTTTATTTATTTCCGTGCCTTATATGGCCATTCAATTTCACTATAAAATGGCAAGATTTTAAATATTATTCAATAGTAATAAACAGTTTATTTTCCACTAAAAAATTCGACACAAATTACGTGTCGTTTAAGCCTGCCCCCGAATCGAAACATCTCAATAACTTATGCTCAATTAACGTTGGTTAGCGGTTGGACAGGGTATATTTACCAGCCAATGTCGAGCAAATAGACAACAGCAAACAGCAAACAGAAACAGAAACAGCAGGCACGCAGACACACACTCGACCGCCTCGATGGCTGTCAACAATCAAATAACATGACTCTCAACGAGGACAGTTGCCATTTCTCACGGTATGTGGCATATGCAAATTCCTCGTTGAGGGGCGCCTCGTTCGCCTTTAATTACCAACAGACAAGTCGCCCGTCGAGAGTCCCACTGCCACTGCCACTGGCACATCAGGTGAACAAGTCAGCGGGCGTTGTGCCAAAAATT